TCGGCATCGATCTCGAACGTCTCCTTGAGCAAGTGGCCGTTGGGCAGTTCCCTTCGGTCAGCCCGGATGATGGAGACGATCTTTGGCGTGATGACGACGACCTCGAAGACCTCGCTGCGGAGCTCAACGCGATGCGGGTCGACGACACGCTTGACACGGACCGTCTCGATCGAGAAGATGCTGCTGCAATTGAGAGCATGCTGGCTCGCTCGGTCTTGGAAGGCTTCCCCGCGGAGCGCTATGAACGGCTCGAGAAGATCGTCAAGAGCTACGAAATTTGGCGCGCAGTTTCGGCACGGACCCACCAGCAGACGTCGAGCCGATGGACATCAAGCTCAAGACGGATGCGAGCCCGTACAGCTGTGCGGGTCGCAAGCTCAACCCGCACCAGGAGCGTTTCGTCCATTTGTTTGGTCGTCAACTTTTGCGGGACGGCGTGATCGAGAAGAACAACCGATCCGCATTCTGCAGCCCGACGAACCCCGTGCTCAAGCCGGAGGGCAAGGCGATCAAGAAGCCCATTAATGAATGGTCCGATGAGGATCTTTTGCGTTACTTTCGGCTCACGATCGACTATCGACGCGTCAACGCAATGACGGTGCCCATGGCGGCGTTTATGCCGTTTTTGTCGGTCATCATGGGCAAGCTCAAGGACGCGCAGTTCTTTGGCATCTTTGATTTGCTCAAGGGCTTCTGGCAGATGCCGCTGGCCAAGCGGTGTCGTGAGGTCCTCTCGTTTTTGCTGGATACCATGGTCTGCACGCCCACCCGCGTCATGCAAGGACATGTGGACTCGGCATTGTACTTCTAGAACACGATGGTGAACATGGCGGACGAGGAAGGGCTCCTCTACGTATGTCTGCTCATCTGGATTGACGACGTTTTGGTCTTTGCCAAGACCATCGACGACTTTCTTGACGCCCTCGATCGCTTTTTGCGATGTGCCAGAAGTACAACCTCAAGCTCAACCCCAACAAGTGTACGCTTTACAAGAAGGAGATCAAATGGTGTGGTCGCTTAATCAGCGGCCAAGGAGTGCGCCATGATCCGGAGCGTATTGCTTCCCTGCTGGCGCTGCCGTACCCAAGCAACGGTGGGCAGCTTCAACAGTTTGTCTGCGCGAGCAACTGGATGCGGGATTCCATCCCGCAGTTTGCGCTGACGGCGATGCCACTCCAGCAGCGACTGGACGACGTTCTGGCAGGCAAGCCAACGCGCAAGAAGCGCGTAGCTACGGCGGTTGCAGTTGAGCTATCGACAGAAGAGAAGGCGGCATGGGATGCGGTCAAAGAAGCTTTGGCCAATGCAGCTCAGCTGGCACACCCAGATCAAGACGCTGAGCTCATGATGTTTCTCGACGCCTCGGGTGACGGCTACTCGATCATTATCACGCAAGTGAAGAAATTCAACGACAGCGTGCCCGTATGGACGCTGCAGCACGAACTGGTCGCGTGCATCTCGGGCGTATGGAAGGGTGCTCAGCGCAAGTGGAGCGTGATCGAGCAAGAGGCATACCCGATCGTCAAGGCGTGCCTCGACTTTGAGTACCTTCTCATGCGGCCACGTGGATTCCGCATCTACACCGACCACAAGAACCTGATCAACGTCTTTGTGCCCGGACAAGAATGGAAGCCCGGACAGCGTGGCAAGCTGGCGCGATGGGCCAGCTACATTACGCCTTACCGCTACACGATCGAGCATATCGATGGCGAGCACAACGTCTGGGCAGACATGATGTCGCGATGGGGCCATGCGAAAGACGGGGCATCCACTTTGACTTCCTCTATTTGGGTGACTCGTTCAAGGGATCCAAGTACGTGCTCGTGCTCAAAGACGACTTGACGCACTATTGCGAGCTCGTGGCGTGTCACATGGCGGACGCGGCCTCGGTCGTGGACGCTTTGATGCACTGGGCTGCGCGGTTTGACTTGCCGCTCGTGTGGGTGTCGGACCAAGGCAGTCACTTCAAGAACCAAGTGGTTGCAGCGCTGGCCCAAGCCTACAAGGTCGATCACCAGTTTATTTTGACCTACACGCCGTGGCGCAATGTTACCGTCGAGCGCTTGAACCGCGATATTCTCTAAGTCTTGCGGGTCATGCTGCGCGAGTACCAACTGAACCTTGAGCAGTGGGAGTATCTCCTACCGCTGGTTCAAGCCAACCTCAACCAGACGCCAGTCGAGTCGCTTGGTGGCGTGTGCCCGACGCAAGCTTTTACGGGGCATGTGCCAGCTACCAACTTGGACATTGTAGTCCGCGACTTTGATGGTGAGCTCGTCCGTCAAGCAGACTGGACAAAGCCAGACGTCGTCAGCACGATGGCTGCTGCTCATGCAAGTTTGGTTGACGTCCACAAGAAGATCGACGACCTGCGTCAACAACGCCTAGCGCGGGAGACCGCGGCGAAGACGCACCAAGAAGAGTTTGTCGCCAACGTTGGTGACTACGTACTCTGGTCGCGCGTGGACAAGATGAAGTATCCGAAGCTGCTCGTCACATGGCTCGGCCCGTTCCAGATCACGGAAGTGTCGACGTACTCGTGCGTCATCCGTCATATCCTCTCGGGTCGAGAGCGCCATGCACATACGAGTCGCCTCAAGCCGTACGCCGAAGGCAGCTTTGAGCTCACGCAAGAGATCCGCGAGCACGTGTCCGAGCAGGGCGTGCTTTTGAAGATCCGTGAGATCAAGGCAGTACGGCTCAACCAGAGTGCCCGGCGGTGGGAGATCCTCTGCCTATGGGAAGGCCTGGAAGACATCGAAGCATCGTGGGAGCTGTTCACGTCGATCGCGACGGATGCCCCCGCGGTCGCTCGACAGTTTGCGGAGCAAGTCACAGACGCCCGAGCGCGGGATGGTCTGGCTGATGAGCTCCGGCAACTTGAAGAACGGTCTGCAGCGTCGACACGACGACGGTCGTGACGTGCGAACTACCAAGAGAAGCTACCTAGTGCGTGATCCCGGCGATCCTCCGGGCCGTGCAACGGTAACTCTTGAAGATCTTAGACCAGATCAAGAGCAGATACTGACGGCGATTCTCCTAGGTCTGTTTTTGCGGTCTTTGATTTGCTTGGGATTTTGACTAAGCTGTCCTATAAATCTTTTGGAAGAGGGGTGTGTGGCAGTAGATGCCTCATACAGTGGTTGAGCACTGAATATTTGTATCTGCACAGCTCTACAACCACTAGGTCGAGACAAGGCGATGTGTTTGTATCAATCTATCAGTAAGATAGTCCTACCGAGAAACCGTTAAGATGGGACTGTACAGGAGCCTGTGGCCAGGGCTCCAGCAGTCAGTTAGCCTTAGTTCCCTATTTCCATCTTAGTACACACGCCGGTGTTTGGGAGTGCGGCCTCCCTTTGTCTAGAGTACTTTCTGTGCTTTATTGAGAGCCAATCGTCGAGACGGATGTGCTCCCACGCACTCGAGAAAGTCTAGTCGCCGCACCAGCGTCTGTGACAAAGCCATGTCGCCGTGGAGCCGACGGGAAACGCGTGGAGAACAAATAGAAGGCAGAGCACCTTGGCGACGGGGTTCGGGGACGGCTTTTCCATCGCAAAACCTTTGGTCGGGGCACGGCGGCTTGTGCGCCACTGCCAAGCGCCCGTTCGACCGTGCTTCTGGTTCAAAAGAGCAGTGCGTGGTCTACGATGTAGAGGACGGTATTTGCCAAATTGCCAAGCGGCACAAGCGATGCAACTGCGCATGTATGTCGTGGGCACAGAAATGGGTTCGCGCCGAAAAGCAAGGCAACGCGAAACCCTGCCTACGCTTACGTTCGACTTCGCGGTCCAGGATCCAAGACGCGGGTGAGAGTACCTTCTCGTTCGAGCAATCGCATTCTGGCCTCCAAGACCCATGCTTCGTTCTCCCACTAGTAGCAGATTCAATCTTGTCACGCCAAGCCACAAAACACGGTGCTTACATTGCCGCACGTTTGAGAAAGGTCTGCTCAAGGGCGTGAAGTGTCGCCAAGAGCCTTCCGTTCGCGTGGCCCATAGCGGACCTAGTATCGACACACATACTAGTATAACCAGAGCCGACGTGCATACCATCGTCATGCGGGGATGGTCCGCGGACATCACGTGCAGTAGTCGTTGCCAGGCCACCGTGCGCCACGCAGAGAACCGATGGCCTCGTGGCCACATGGAGATGCGTGGCGTACGTAGACGTCCGACGATGTCCATGGTCGCGACCATGACCAAATCCCAAAGCTTCTCCCATCGACTTTTTAGCCTGTCGTATACACTTGGCATTTGTATGCGTGTTTCGTCTTCATCAAATTGATCACAGGATTTCCCACAGAGTATGATACAGTGCTTGTGCAATGCAGATGCGGGCCGCTTTCGGAGGGAACTGTGCTTGGCGCAAACTGCAATGAGCCCTTGCAGTCGATGAGCGTCATGGTCGACGTGACGTCACGGGCGTCCGTGCGCGAGAGGTCCGTGACCGCATGGCACTTGCCGATTTTGGATCGTGCCCAGTGGCACCTCATGGTGGAGAGTGTCGAAGATAGCATGTTTGTCCGACATACATGCGAGCGTGAGGCCAAAAGCGCATCGTCGAGAGCATAATTTCTGCGACACCGCTGGTTCCAGAGCATCCAAAGTGCGAGGTGTTGCATCATTTACCGGGCTCTTTTGCGTCGCGCGATCAAACGCGGTGTGGTGCGAGCGCCATTACAAGGCATAAAGGAGCCATGTAGAGCAGGTACTATGTATGGCTGCTCGTGCTGGGCAATCGAGTGAATGATGCGGCTAAAATATATGCTACAAATGTGTGCTACCGGGCGACCCACATGTGAATGGCGTCTCGAACATCTGGAGGTGCCTGTGTGTCTCGATGCATACGTAGGTCACCATTTCCAAAGTGAACTATCAGAGCACACCACAGCGGGCGGTCAAGTACATGCTACCTCGTATCGACAGAGTCCGACATCGGATCCTTTGCATCGAGGTTTCGATCTTTGGAACCACGAAATCCCACGCAGCACGTTCCAACACTTTACTTTCGTTTGAACGCATACATTGTCATTAGAAAGAGGAACTATTAAATTATGAACAGTATACGGCGCTCGGCTGGCAAAGCAGTCTTGTCGCCGTTAAGTCGACGTTGTTACATTCCGACGAGTTGATTGAGTTGCACGAAGCGTACAAAGATGTTGAAAATATCTAATCGTCCAGTGAGTCAAAAGTTTCATAGAGCAGCGTCTTACCCAGGAAGAGGAGCATGGCGTGGTTCTCCAGCTCGTCGTCGTTGTCCGAGCCCGAAAGCTCGATGACCATGAGCATCCTCACGAACACTTTTGCCCAGAGGAGAAAGAGGCGCATGTACTACGTATTTGAAACAGTGCAGTCACCCTCCATTCGCATCAGCGACCAAATACGGTACCGCGTCCATGAGGTACGGAACAGAGTACACGAAGGGCTGGATCCCCTCGAGGCAGCACATCAGATTCGAAAAAGCATTGCAGAGCTCCTCGACGGTCTGGTACACCTGATGCTCGGCTATGACATGATATGATGCATCTTCGCAAGGGTGGCATCGTACCGTTCCAGGCTGCGACTGTGAAGCACAGGCAGATGAGGGCTGTTGTTGCGCTATACGAGTGAACCATGCGTGAGTCATATGCGCATGGACCTTCTGCACGTACCTTGAAGAAGCGACAACGCTGGCTCGGTCCATAGCGTGTATTGACGCGATGGATGAGCCTTGCGAGGCGCCAAACGTCAAGGCCAAGAGCGTCGTCAATGTCCGCCGCAGCGCAGTGCAATTAAACGGCACGTGCGCCAGTACGGCGGAGCACAGGACGCCGCCGCCGAGTATCGCAGAGGAATGAGAGTCGGGCCAAGCTACGGTCCGCGCGATGACACCGCCGACGATTGGGAAGACGAGCCCAGACGCGCCAGAAAGATGCGCGTAGAGGCGCGGATTGTCGCTAATGTACACGGACACAAAGCCGCTATTGACGTGGTGCAGGACGGTTCCGGCGCCGTCTTCGAGCTGCAATGTCGGTGGCGGCGAGAGCTCGTTGCCCGCGGCCGTCGCGACAGGCTGCGAGATAAGGACGCGTCAAGGAAAGTGATTCTCTGTGGATCAGTATTACTAGCGACGTGTGCCTCGGTGAGCACCACAACCAATACTGCCGTCGGCTGCGATTCAGTGATATTGTACTTATAGGATTATGATTTACGACATTGGAAAGGCCATGTCGATCGGTTGATACAATGATGGATACACAACTTCGGACAAATGAAAGTGAT